TTAGAAAAATAAACCTATAAATAATTATTCTAAATAAATATAAATAATTTCAATATTATACTTTATATATTCCTTTCTTCAATTCAATTATAATCAACAAATTATTACCTTCGATTCAAGATTAGAAAAAATATTCAATTAGATCTTAGATTCTAATTCTTTCAATTAATTTCATTTTCTAATTATTCTTATTGAAAACGACAATCACTTCTAACTCATTTCTAAATAGAATCGAGATTATCGATTTCTTTTTAATTACAGAAGTAAAATAAAACATATTTGCAAATTTCATATATATTTTCCATATGATATTTTTCTCCAAGGTAAAAAACAGAATTTTCGTTATGTTATTTCTAAATATTCATTGGCAACCCAGTAGATCCAAATATATCAGCCTGATTTTTTTGACATCGTCTCTATTTTCGAATGGGCTTGTCATTTGGCTCATTCCTGATTGTCTTCGGAGGGAATTCTTTTAATGATATAAACGTCTCTCGACTTCAAGCAAAAGGTTGTTGTCTTTCGCACCTATTGTGCATTCCTCTTGTTGCCCTTCATGTCCTTTCAGCCTTCATTTGAATCTTGCAAAATGACGGCAGAACTTAAGCCATTCACAGAGTAGCAATGCATGCTGGAGGACCAACTCGAGAGCTAAATTTGATCAGCTTGAAGCAGTAGGCTCGCGCAGCTACTTCCTCTGCTGCACCCAGGTGCAACTGAGCGCATGCAACAAAATTCCACCTGCCTCAGCAGGGTACTTGCAACTTCTTACTGGTTCGCGCTGTCAGCTCAGCAAACTAAGTTTGCGACGACTCCCGCATTGAGAGACTCGACCAGTTCTGACATGGGTAATGCCACCTGAGATGATGTACCGCTTACACGACGTTGCAGCATCGTGTGAGAAGTCCACCTGCGTGCAGCGGCTGAGAAGCTCTTTCTGAATGCCGTCGGCCTCATTGCCTTCCATAACCATCTGAGTCTGTGCGATCTGTATCTTGTCCAAGCAGATTGAGCTGAATTCATGGCCAGCCTACAACCAAGCAAAAACCACGTCGGCTGCTGGAGAGCTGCGACCTTTGCTTTCGAGCACGTCGTAATTGGCTGGTTGAAGGGGCTCAATTCGTGCCTGAGCTTCTGACACTTCCGACAACGCCTTGCCATCTTTATGCGCGGCACATAGCAGGAGCTGGTGCCTGAATGCAAAACAGCCCACGAAACCTGCATGTCATATCACAGGTCGAGTCGACAGTCCAACAAATTTCTGAATCAGACATAAGGCGTTCAAGTCAACAGGGCGCAGGATGTTGCAGCTGTGTGTCAGCGCTTCTCTGCTGTTTTTTCCGCTCTCTTCCTCTTTGCCTTGCTTTCATCCTACCAATGTGGTTAAGATGCGTTTAAGTCTACTGTAAAGAAGGTCCAAACTTTTACGCTCTGGTGCGATGCGCCGGTCCATCGATCCTCGTCGGCATGAAACTCGCGAAACCTGCTGAACCTCTGGCCTGCACTCCGTCCCCGATGCACCGCTGCCTAGTTCCGACTAGCAACCCCCTGAGATCCAAGCCAAGGCAGGAGGTTTCCATAACTCAGCTGGCTCCAGCCCCCGCATGTCTCGGTGCGAAAGGTACCAGCCCCCACGTGTTCGGCTGTCCCCCCTCACTGCAGTCATCGTGGCAGAATGGTTTAGTCCGGTCTGCGCTACTTGCCCTCTTGGCTTGACAGGCACAGCTATCGCATGCTATCGCAGAATGTATTTTGTACATGTGTCTGCAACGGCGTCCGGGACCCAAAGAGTGAGGGTAATTTTCAATTCACAAAACTCCTTCCCCTGTATTGCAATAACACGAACTTGTGGCTGGTCTACCGAGTCTACCGCCGGCTCTAAGGCTTGCAGAGGTGGAGGCCAGACAAAAAGCAACTCGAATCACGGACGAACCATCCTGGAAACCGGCTTTGCTTCAAATCCCACACTGCTGGTGGGAGGCACAGGTCAAACGGGCACCTTGACGCGGTTCAGGCAAACTCGGCTTTACAGCAAAAGATAGAGAAAGCTAACAGTTGGACATGCGACTCTGACCCCCAAACACGAGGAAAGAGGAAAGATCGCCCCCTAACCCTCCGCGAGCGCCGACTCTTTCTTTCTGCTGGGCGTAGGGGTCGCGGTGCGACCCTCAGGCCATCGGCCTGCCCAACACCCCATTATGTCATTGAGTGGGCTGGCTTTGGGGTTCCACATTTGCGGCAGGGAGCTGAACGGTGCGTTCAAGGTTTTTTTGTCGAGAGCCCCCCCTTTACACTTAATTTGGCCTCATCCCCGCGCCCCTTTGGCACTGCTTGAGGGCTTTCTAGTGCGCTCTCTCTCCCTTCATTCAAGGGGCATGGAGGTCAGTAAGCGACCCTCAAGCCACATAAATGCGCACAGCCTGCCTGCACCCAGCCAATGTGTAGCGATTCGCGTCGCATCCGCTCTGATCGTTGTCTTAAGCTCGCGGACTAAGAGAATAGCCCGCTGCAAATCGGTGACTCATGCTGCGCATGCTACATTCGAAAAAGGCCTGTCGCAGAGCTCGACCAGCTGCTGCGGTGTAGCAAAACTCCTGTAGGGCCTCTGAGACTCTGAGCGCAGGTGCTCGCAGTGGTCAGGCCAAGAGTCGGCTGAGACTCCCACAGCGTCCACGCAACTGCCTGAATCAGGTTCGTCTGAGCTACCAAAGCGAATGCACCGAATCCAACCCAACCTGGGAAGCTTCAAGCACCTTGTAGCAGAAGGGATCCACGCCTCACATAAGCTGTGCTGCCCAAGACCAAGACGGCACACTGAACTGATCAGTAGCAAAGTAGCATTCGGTGCTGAACACCACTCCATCGAACTTCAATGCAACGGCAGTGCTCAGCAAGAGACCTGCTGCAAATGCCGCAGCTGGCATTCGGTGAGCGCATGACAAACATAAACATGCACAGGGCAACCCATGTTCTCCGGATGCTTGATCTTGTCAACTGCAAGCAAGCATCTCGGTGAAGGTTCGAACCTTGACTCGATAAAGTTTGGACTGCAAGGGAAGGGTGTGACTTCATTGCGATGCAATTGGACCACGGCTCTTCTGTTGCCTCGGGTTGCTTAATTTGACCTCGGCAGTATGATAAAGGACATGTGATGGCGAGATGGCGACATCCTTTCACTGCGAGCCTATAACGAGATCCCCATCGTCCAAGGTCTGCGAAGGTGCCTCGCTGCTCCCCGGTGAAACATTGTAAAAATTGCAACTTCGAAGGCTTCGACGCCTTCGGACCGAAGAGCACATGCTGCCTGCTTCTGGTGACTGCTATGACTGCTATGATGGGTGTCCATACGAAGGCAAGCACTGGGTTGCGTACAGAACGGCTTTTGGAGTGCGAAGAACTTTGTCCTGAGAGAGACTGTGCTTCGAACGCCTTCAATCTCTGTCATGCAGTTCACCTTCCTAGCGAGATGACACGCCGATCACTTGTATGTATATATATATAATGTGTATGTATGTATGTATGTATGTATGTATGTATATATATATATACATACAGTGGTCTACGACCTCGTTTGCTCACACTTGAACATCTTTTCCTAGACCTTTCGCTTGTCTTTCTTTCGGGCCTTGGATGCTCAAAACGCATGGTCTGCCATGGCCCTGGCCTTGCAAAGACCTTGGGGCCGACTGAAGTCTCTGTTTCCGAGGCATGTGCTGCATTGTAAAAGCTGGCTGCATCTCGCGACTCATGCGTGAAGACCTGTGCACTGGCGATGGCTCGGACTGCGAGGGCATGCAGCATTGGCGCCTTGTCAAACTTGAAGTGCTCCGAAATGGCCTGCACAATCTGACGACCTCGCACCTTTCGAAGCAATGTGTCTTCTGAAGAAGCCCGAGGATTGGATGCGGCTGCTGAGGTCGCAACTACGCATTGCCCTTTGGGCATGCGAGCACGCCTTCGCCCAACACGGAGTCGGAAGAGCTCCTTTTAATCATGTTGCTGACATCCACGATGCACTGCTGCAAAATATGCAAGCATGAGGTACGGCGCGTCCTTGATACCAGGATTCCGGATGGAGAGAATATCGTAGATGCCGGACATGAAGCCAGCTCCATCATCGTGTACGTTTAACCATGTTGCTGTAGCGAGGTACAAAGAGTGGTCTGACAAAGATGGTCTGCCAAGCGAAGCTATGCCGCTATGATTCGGATAAAGTCATGTCCACCAGCAAATAAATTTGGTCTGCAACACTAAGGCCCAGAACAGAGTTCGGCAGAGCTCGAGTCAGAAGTTCCGAGACCCACAGCAACAGACAAGACGACTCAGGATGTCTTTTCACCTCAAGGCACGAGGTCGGCTCCGAGACGTAAGCGGTCGTAGACCATAGTAGGCAGTTGACTCCGACAACTTGCCCACAAGCAGAAACTGAATTGGCACTCTGGCCTGGCTTATACTGTATGACGTTTCATGCTTTCTGCGGATGTCCTGGGTTGACTTTAACCTGCACGTTGCGAGTTCTGTTGGCTTACAGAGCCTTCTCGGAGGAGGCTGCAGCCCCACTCAGCGCATCCTTGCACCTAGCGGTCTAAGTCCGGTCGCGATCTATCCAGATTGCACTCACCGGAACTGATAAGGTGGTCTTGTAATGTCTTGTAGAGCTTGGCGACCCAAGGCGGATGAAGACTCAGACTGAGGTAGATACCCTCTGAGTGCCGCACGAGTTTTCGGACGGTGGCTGCTGCAAGCCTCCAGGATCAACCTCGGGCTGAGCAGGCTGGAGATTCGGATCTGTTCATGCTGATACGTTTTAAATCTGTTCATGCTGATACCGTTTGAGTCTGGAAATCTTGTCTCAGAACTGCTATCACAAGGAAACATGCCGACCATTCCTGACCAGTATCTAGTCCAGCGGCTTCTGCCCCTACATGTTGAGTGGCAGCTCGCACCAGATCCAAGCTATGTGCCCATGCATCCGAGCCGCAGCCCTTGCTTCTCAAGATCTACTTCTTGCGGTCGCGGTCGCGGCTGCGAGAGCGTTCGCGTTTGCGCTCCTGGAGCCAGGGGTCTCTTGACAAATGCATACTCACATTTGCTGCTCAAAAAAACCAGCATTTACAAGGCGGCACCTTCTCCTTGTCCTTCTTCTTGTCCTTCTCCTTCTCTCGCTCGCGCTCCTTTTCCTTCTCCTTTTCCTTGTCTCTTCCTTTCTTGTCTTTCTTGTCATCATCTTCCTGCAAGACGCTTCTGGATGCCTCTGCCCCGTATTGGTTCTTCTAGAACCTAAGCGATGTCAGAAGCATGGCAGCGCAGGGATCAGTGGCGTTGATGCGTCGTCGTTGTCGGAGCCCTCGCGCTAGGCGTTTCGTGTCAGTGAGTCAGTCGGTGTTGTTCAGTGTCACTGCAGCACCGACGGCTCAAACGGGGAGAGCAGGTTGTGGGCAAGCGGCGAGTCAGTCAAGAACAGGTATCTGCAGGAGATGCCATCTGCAGGGGCTTCGACTTGAGTTTACCAGGATATCCCGAGCAGTTCACCTGCCTGGGTTTCAGCTGTTGCACAGCACTGTTGGCATGTCTTCTGCTGCGATGCCGCAGGAAACGCCTTTGTTGCATGTAGCCTAATTATGGCGAAACGAACAAGGGACCCGCGACAACAGGAGGCAGCGAGGATCTGGCAAACGACATGGTGGCTATCATTCTGCTGGAACCATGCAGCCCTGTGCTCAAAGGCTGCTCTCGTCAACTCGCCTTATCCTTGTCTTTTTCCTTGTCCTTCTTCTTGTCTGCCTTCTCCTCCTTCTCCTTTTCCTTCAGCTTCTCAGTGGTTTCCGCGAGCCTCCTGCAAACACGGTGGCTTCCAAGGGCTCTTCCAATTTATCTTTAACACCACTCTGGTCCTCTGCTTCTTCTTGGAAGGCTTGCCTCAGAGGTCTCTGACAGACCAGAACCGTCTCAGGTCGAAATCCGAAATTTCGGCCTTGGCGACCAGGTCCTCGTCCGCCACCAAGCCTGCGAGGAAGCCAGCCCTCGACTGTGCGGCCGCGCTCCACGTCCACCATGACACGGCGACCTGATGGCGACAGGTTCAGACATGCTTGAAACAGTTGCTTCTCTGTCTGTCCCATAATGTTCAACCCTCACAGTGCTCGTCGGACCGTAAGTCAGCACTTGCGACGGAGCCACCGTCAATCTTCTTGCCATCGCCCTGCTTGTAGGCATTCTTCAGATCGCGCTCATGTTCGAACTCAATGAATGCATATCCTCGTCGGGCCATGCCGGCACAATACGCCACTGGTTGCTACATAGAGGCAGCGTCGCACGTCACAAATCGCCCTGAGCTTGCACCTCTCGGCTTGCCCTTCTGATCGTAGACCATGCGAACCTGCCACATGCTATGCTTGCAAGACGTGGGAGTCTGCAGGAGACGATCCCCTGCCAAACCTTCTTGATGCTCCCGAAGACTTCGAACTCTCGCTTCAACTTCTTTTCTGTCGTGTCGTAGCCTCAGCCAAGTCAGCCATCTTCTGAAACTCCCAACAGGCTTGCCAGACGGCCTGAGTGAGGGGCTTATGCGGCCAACAAAGAGAGTCTTAAAGGGATCACCGCTTGCATTGGCGTCCTTCGAGGTGGACTTCCGACGGAAGCGCAACGAGACAGCCATCACCAGCCACTAGTCCTTGTGAGGATCATAGGTGTCGATGATCTTCTTCTGTGCCGCTTTGTGTGCCTGAACCTGTCCCAGCCGCGCATGAGGTTGTCCACAGTTTCAGCGGGAGAGTTCTCGCCTTCTCTCGATGCCTTCTGGCTTTGCGCTCCAACGGAGACTCCCATGGTTCCCTCGGTGGTGGTGGATCCTTACAGAGCCCAAGGCTCGCTTCTCGGCCCTGTCAATTATCCCAGCGAAGACTCACAATCATTCGGAATGGCTTCATCAACGTGTGCTTTCCATGGCTGCTCTACTTAGAAGTACAGAAGACCAGCTGTACCAGTCAGGCTCATACTACTGAACACAACTCGGCATCTGAGTGCTGAGAAGGCTCTGTTGAGAAGAACTCCACATACCTTCGTTGACAAGAAGCGTGGCACCAATCTTAAAATGTCTGAAACCTGTGCAAGATCTCTGCCTTGGCCCAGCGACAATCTGACACGTGCTGATTGCTGAGTAGCGTGAGATCCAAAAGCTCGGGTCAGCTCCCTGTGCATCTGTTCGGAACCTGCAATTCCTCTGCGAATGCTTCCTTGGGGAGAACTCCTGTTGCTGAAGTCCACGCTGCAACCGAAGCTTCAGGGTTGAAGGCCGGATTCAAAGAGTTAAGCCTTTTCGACTCCAGGGTTTCAATGTCTCACCGAATCACCGAATCTAGACGTTACGGAAGGCTAGTCTACTAGTTGTTCTTCTTCACCTGCAATTCCAATTTAGCCGAGCATTCGTTATTCAATTGAGGTTGTCCAGAAGCTCTCTGGAACTCGATTACTGTGTCGGTTTGGGATCACCCGGGGGTCCCAAACTACTGCTGCTCTGCTGCTGCTGCTGCTGCTGCTGCTACTATTACTACTACTACTACTACTACGACGACGACGACGACTACTACGACTACGACTACGACTACGACTACGACTGCGGCTACGACTACGACTACTACTGCTACTCTTCTACTACTACTACTACTACTACTACTACTACTACTGCTACTACTGCTACTACTGCTACTACTGCTACTACTGCTACTACTGGTACTACTGCTACTACTGCTACTACTGCTACTACTACTACTACTACTGCTACTGTCACTCCTCCTACTACTAATAGTGCTGCTACGACGATCGAGGGGCAGGCCTTTTATCTGTGCGATTTGCGATTTTGGCA